GCATTTATGCCTGCCTCAATAGTAAGGCTGATCAGTCCAACAAGGTCAAAATGGCAGACAATGTTCAAAACGGCCTCAAGTCTGTTGTTAACTGGGGCAAAAGATGGCTTGTTAATTTCAATGTCTCCAAAACTAATCTTCTCTCCATTAATCATCTGAGAGGCCCCTCTCTGTCTTCCATCAGCATGGCCGATGCTAACTTTCAAGAAAGTGACTCATTGTGCATTCTTGGGCTAATGTTCTCAGCTGACATGAAATGGAAAGGCTAAATTGAATCCATTGCTAGGTCAGCAGCTAGGAAGGTTGGCTCACCTTGTTGTGCAAGATAATTTTTGTCTCTGGAATCTATCTTACATATCTATGTCTACCATTCGTACATGCTTAGAATATCGCTACTACATATGGTCCAGTGCTAGCCATAAGTTCTATGCTAACAGTCTCTTTTCTTGCACCTCTCACTTGTGGAAATCCCTTCCGGCTTCATGCTTTTCATTCAACTTTAATCTGCAAAAATTTAAGTGCAATGTCAATTGCTATCTACAGTTCTCCCAATTACTCTTTTCTCTTCTTGCTCATTATTAATGTTTCTGTTCTTAATTCTTCCACACCCTGTAAACCCTTGCATCTTAGTGGCTTTACTACCTTGCTGGGGATGATGCCGATTAAAAAAAAAAAAAAAAAAAGAAGAAAAAAAAAAGTTAAACAAATGACATGAATAGCTGAGAAATGTCTAGTTTAGAATCTAGAAAGTCAATGAAAAAACATTTTCTTGTCATTCATTATCCAACGTTCATTTTCTAATCATGTTTTCAGTAATTTCCTAAATTTAAATATATAGTAAATAGTAAAAAAATTATTTTTTTTATTTCTGGTAAACTTACAGTTAAGTAGAAAATTTTTTCTTTTTGAATGAGAGAAAGTGTTCTGTGTCTGGGTAATTCAGTTCACCCATCGTTTGCAATGACTGAAATGGATTAAAGTGCTTGCTTTTGTCCAGTCCTCCAGTCTACCAACTGAGCTGTTGCGAGTGACCTTTTATTCTCTCGGTCTCGTTAGTATGCATGTATGCCGTCACGCCAACAATGCAATCTGCCGTCTTTCTTTCCAAGACTTGCTATCTATGCCTGCATTGGGGGGGCAACTAAAATTTGCATACAAGACTTACTTCTCGTTCGCCAGAGACTTCCAATTTTATAAATTCAAGCTGGTTTGAATTCTTAGTCTTTTTTTTTTTTTCTTTTGTACGTCTGCCCGCTATATGGGAATTTCAGAATAATACATTTCTCTTTTAATGCTGGTCTTGATCTTTCAACAGGACCTGACATGCTAAGCAAATTCGCTTTGTGGGAGGTAAGTCTTCTCATTCCTCACACTGTGACTGCTTCTTTCAATGCACATTTTCTTCTTGACTACTAAAGATTTTTTCATTGGACGATAGTTTACTAATCCTGGTGCCAATGGTAGTGGGTATTTGTCTTAGGATTGCACTGGTGTGGTTAGAACTGATATTAATATAGTTGGGGGTTTCGTTCTCTTTATGGCAAGGTCTAAAGGTTTTATCATTAAGGTTAAGGGTAATATCTAGGTAGTCAACTATTTTAAGTTTAGAGGAAATCTCGATCTTAAACCCTAGAAAAAAATCCTTAAAAAAATCTTTAATAAGAAGAAAGAACTATACGAAAATGCCCTCCAAAAAAGTGGTTTCAAAAGTAAACAGTCTTACGCAACCACCATTAGTAATACTGACACACGAAAAGTAGAACGTAGGTGTAAAAATAGGAAAAGAGAAAGCACTTGGTTCTACCACCCCCTTCTGCAAAATGTCAAGTATCAACATCGGACAGTACTTCCTAAACTTAATTACTAAACACTTCAACAAAAAAACCCTCTAAATAAGATATTCAACAGGAAATCAGTCAAAATTGCACTGATAATATGTACCAGATTATTAATTCCCATAACAATTATATTTTAAGTAAATTCCATGGGAAAAATAACTAAATCTAACATGGAAACCCCCTGTAATTCAAGAATTAAGGAAAACTAACCAGTAGAGGGCAAGTGCAGCTCCACTAGGGTAGTATACCAGGCAACCATTACCCCTAAAGAAAATATGACAAACCATAATATTTACATTGGCATTTCTGCAGGAGAATTTAAAAAGAGAATCAATACACATAGACACTCATTCACCAATCCAAAATTAAAACACCCAACAGCCCTTTAAAAAAAAAAATTCAGAATTGAAGGAAAAGGGTCTGAATCCTCAAATAAATTGGAAAATTCTAGGTTTCTTGAACACCCCCAATATTTTTAGGGATACGTGCAAACTATGTTTAGAAGAAAAAAATCAGGATAATAAAATATAAAGATCAATGTAAACTATTAAATCAACAAAGAGAATGAATCACAAAATGTAGATATAGAAATAAATTCCTAATTACATAAGAATACATGTGCATATATGTGGGGGTGTATGTGTACATATAGTGGCATATATGTATGGACATGTAAATGTGTATATATATATATATATATATATATGAAGATATGTAACACAAACCCATTCTCATTAACAAGGCATCTCCCAGAGGAGGACTGACATTAAAAATAAATTTAAAACAGTGTTCTGAGACAGACACTTAGGGGTTGATGATAGCCACGCACAGAACAGCTTGAAATAGACTATCTCTATGTTGAGGTAATTTTTGTGTTTTTTGCTGTAAAAAAATACTAATGCTCTGTTAAAATAAAAACATTGGGCTCTCTGTGGATCAGTTTTAATAATATTACTAGAATCCACCCAGATTATATACCAACAGATTGATTACCTGTACTATATGTGTGTGTATGTGGCTTAAAAACAAGAGCATAAAATGCTCTTTAGTTAAATATATTATCTTTGGTAACTTATGGCATATGAAAATATGTTTAAAAATACAAATCATAAAAATTCTTACAGTGAAGGGTGTTTTCTCATAACCTAACAATGGCTTTTTAAATTTTATTAAGCTTTTTTTCTCAGTAAACCTTATTTTCTTTTTTAAGTTCTACAAATTTGATACAAACTACAAAATTGTAAACAAGTATAAGTGGCCTCTACGTTTTCTTTAATTAAAAAAGGGAAAAATGATAAGAAAAACAAGAAATTCTTGTTTTAAGAATAAATTTATCTCTAATTTCTCATGAAGTATAGAAACAGATTTGTAGATAAAATAAATTGGACAGAAAGGGCATGACTACTTTCAAGTTAGCCCAGACATTTTTGCATGTGTAACCAAATTGTAATGGGGATTCTTGTTTATATTACAATGTTGTAAACAGGATTTAAGAATTAGATTTGGGATAAACAGGCTATATTGCTTTGAAAAACAAAAACACATAAAAACTGAAATTAACCTGATTTTTCAATGTTCTCTTTCTAATCAGCCAGCATGATTATAAAAGCAAAAAAGTCTTGAGAGGAGCCCAAGGAAGGCAAAGATAATGTTACAAAAAAGTTTTTTTTTAAAATATTTGATTTTAGTAGAATTTGTTTTTTGAACTCCTTGCATACCTTTCATCATTTCCTCATGACATTCTTGACTAAATCTGGTTTGAGAAGCCAAAAATATAAAAACTAAAAAGAAATATCTTCTTCAAGTAAGTGGAAATGAAAAGAATACATTCTGACAAATAATTTGGATCAGGATAATTCTCTTGCCAAAATTTAGTTACATCTCCAAAGCAATTAAATATGTGGATTAACTTTTTGGCAAGTGTACATTTTGATGAGCTCTTAAGTCTAAAATCTGCATCAAGCAGTTGACAAGAGTTGTAACAACAATGAGCAGTCACTTCAGATCATTAATCAGAAAAGAATGGCAGGTTTCATGAATTCTGCTAACGAAATGTTTACGCATTCTGAGAATTTTCATTTTTGAAGTGGAGTAAGATTCATTGCTAATGGCAAAAGATATTCAATGTGCATTTTTTACTGATTTGGATAATTTTCATTTTAATAAAATGAAAAGAAAAAAGAAAAAAAAAGCCCCAAATGGAAAAACTGATAATCAAGACTTATGAAAGAGATGAAAAAGCAATGTTAAAAAAAAAAAAAAAAAAAAAAATGAGTACATTGGTAGAATTAATAGCTATATATACGGGTAATTCCATGTCACTACAACAATGTTTTTATTGCTAATGGTTTAGCTTCTCTGGGTGGCAAAACACATACCAAAAAACTGCAAAATAACAATTTTCCCCATTTTTAGCAGAAAGAAGAAACTATAAGACTATGGGAAATAAAAGTAAATAAAAACATGAGAGATTCCTTCTTATATTAGACTATAAAATTACCAAATATCAACTTGGTATCTTTTTAGAAAGCAAAGTTATGAAGTGCCAAATTTGGAAAATCGTGCTATTTTGAAATCAGCAAAAAGTGACACCAAATTTCAAGAGACTATAACTCCTGAAACAAGTGTCTAAAGAAGCTAAAATTTTAGAGTTTTTAGTTTCACATAGGTGGGTACAATATACTAAAATTTCATCAAAATCTGAGATGGTGCCTATGGGAGTTTTCTGAAGATTTAGTTGAGTTGATATGGAATTATATGTGTGTGTGTGTGTGCGTGCATACTTTGATTGGTTGATTATTTTGTTTTTTATGGATTACAAAGCCTTTTTGAGTTATTTAAAGCTGAAACATTGGATTTTAAAAATAATGTTTTTTTTTTTTTGTTTTTTGAGTGAATATTTAACATTAACAACTTTTTGTGAATATCAATGATTTTCCCCAATACAAATCCTATTATTTAACCCATAGCTGGGAGAAGGAAATAGATTTATATCTTTTCTCAAGGAGGATAGAAAGAGAGAAAGTGTAAGTAAAAAAAAAAAAACAAAGAAAGAAAGAAAAAGATAATGAAGAGAAGAGAAAAAAGAGTAAGAGATGTGGGTTGGATTTTTGTATTCAATGACACTTCAACACCAGGGTATTATATTATCCTGGATGTTGCTTACAGTACCTAGTATTTCTGGTCTCCCATCTAAGTACTGATTAGGCTCAATGTTGCTTAACTTTGGTGATCGAATGAGAACCAGCACTTTCATTGTGAGAGAGAGAGAGAAAGAGAATATAAAGAAAAAGAAGCAAAGTCGTGATGAAAAGAGAAAAAGAACATGAGAGAAAATCAAGTTGAAATCAACATTGGTATTATGAGATGAGACAGCAAATCAGAATAAAAATAGATCAGACAAAGAGGATGTCTAGAGAGGGAATTATGGGATATGTAGATGAAGAAGAGAGTTGTAGCAACAAATGTGATTCTACAGGTGGATGCTGAGGTTACTATGAACAGCAAACTTGAGCAAGAGGCAAATTGTATAAAGAAAATGGGAACTAGAAAGACACTAGTGCTTAAAATTAGAAAGTGACAATTGAAATTATTGGGACATATAATGAGGAAAGAGGGCCTGGAGAATCTAACACTCACAGGACATTGAAGGAAGGAGAGGTAGAGGGAAACAGTAAGCAACTTATATAACTTATAACTTTACACAAACAGATGGCACAGCAGGGAGAGTGCAGTCAAACATTGCTTAGTACTACAAAGGACAAGAAGTTGTGGAGAGCCATGATCCTGAAAGAACATGGCACACAAATGATGATGTTAGGATAATGTCATTTCTGTCCGCACAAAAAGGGGAATTGGAAAACTTGAAGCCATGTCTGTTATTTTCACTATTGTATGAATGACATTGGAAAGAAGGCATGAACCTATATTTTCTCCACCCCTGGTAGCAGCTAAGTGAAGAATTACTCCACAAATTGTAGAGAAGAAAACAAAAAATCAATCCATTATTTTTTTCATGGCAATTAAGAGATAATTAAGAAAACAGAATCTGTGGAGAGCCATTATTGCCTACATCCAGAAGGGGGCAGAGCATTATAATTAACTCATTAATATCCACTATCCCATTCTTAAGGCAATGGGCATTATTATTATTCTTTATGTGACATGTCACCTCAGGACATAGACGATCATGGCTCTCCACAACTTCCTGTCCTTTAGAGCTATAATCTATGATTAATAAGAGATTTAAAAAATATTTTTAACATTTTTTAAACCTCTAATACTGACATATATAGTGAGAATTAATGAGTTAAAAGAGGAGTGAAGGAGAAAGAAATGGTTAAACTGAGAGAGATAGGTAGAGTAAAATATAGACAATGAGAGAGTGAAAGTGAAATCTGGAGAAGGACTGAATTAATTCTAGAAAGTGGTAAGAAAACAGAAAATTGCATTTGAACCAACAGTCAGTTTTTCAAGTAAAATTCTTAAATAACACTAATTTACACTCTTTGCAATCACAAGATCCTTGATAAAATCCAGAGAAGGGTCTGCAATATAATCAATCCTGACCAGGCATCTCATCTCCAGTCACTTTCTCACCAACATGATGTAGCTTCCCTGTGTCTGTTCTACAAATATTTTCATGGTAACCACTCAGATGAGCTTTTTTTCCTGGTGCTCCAATTATATGGTTTGGCAACTAGTTCTCACCATTTTATTATTGAACTAGCTAAATGCAATTATCATTTCTATTCTAACAGTTATTCTTTTTCTTGCACTTTCCACCTGTACAACTCCCTTCCAATTTCTTGCTTCCTTGATAACTACAATCTTCAAAAATTTGAGTGCAACATCAATCGCCATATTCTGTTTTCTTGACACCTGCTCTTTTCTTGTCCTTTCCTCAATCCTCTCCATTTTCAATCTTTTCATTTCACTCCCTGTAACCCCCTGCGTTCTTGTGGCATTGTCACCTTGCTTGGGGTGAAATGATTTAAAAAAATATCCAGTGAATTATTTATTTAGCTATCCATCTATATATAAAACTTAATTGCTAATAAATATAGTCACTTCCCAAGTGTTCAGAAAAGCTGATTTAAGCATAAAATGCATTATAAATGATTTCACTTAAAACTCTGAGCCTAGATTTAATCCAGAATTTAAATAGTGATAAACAACAAATCAACAAACATTATATCTATATTTTGTATGGATAAAAGATATTTATATTGTTTATACTATTGACTATTGTATTGTATTGAAAACCTGGAGTTTAGTTTGGCTCAATGTGTCTTTATTGAATGTAACTGAAGAGTCCTTCTGTTTTGACTAAGAAGGTGTGACTTATTTATACAAATCATAAGACAGGGGAGGTAATCGGGTTGTTTTACCATAAACTTCCCGGGTTTGTTTTCTAGTATGACAAAAAATCATCCAGGTAATTGGGTCTTTTGACAATTCTCTGTGATTGTCTTGGTGGAGGCTGATCTGGGCTTTCAGGTGTTATAGAAACAGTTAGCCAGAAGTATTTTGTCTCATATTGTTTTTGTCTCCTTCTTGGAGTAGGATGCTCTGATTCTGAAAGCTGATTATCAGAGTCTGTGGTAGTATGCTCTTGTTTAGAAAGGAGCTATTCTGGTGTTGATCTCAGAACCTTGTTCCTCAGGAGAATCCAATGGCATTGTGTTGTCATTACTATCAAGAGGGAGAGATTTTGCTTCAGAGGAGAGTTGCTCCTCCTACTGGCTTGATAACTTGTTGGCAGGGGTTAAATCTCTGAGGGAAACATTTGATTGTCTCCCATCGGGGTGTCAAATGCGTGCATCAAGTGGGTTTGCCTCAAGCAGTTCCACCTTACTCGCAGAAGAATCATGCTTGTTTTGTTGAACATGGCTTCTAAGTAAAACAGTACCTAGCTGTGAGAGCCACAAAGAGAGGGAAATCCCAACTGAACTTTGCCTTGGAAATTTTAAAAACCTTTCATGAGGTGTTGTATTAGTTCTTTTACACAATAAAGTTCTTAAAGCATACAGAGTCTTGGTTATTATGTCTAATTGGAAGATTTGGGTTTTCAAGTGCTAACTGTACAGTCTTCCATATTATACCATTGTATCTCTCACACTGTCCATTCTCTTGATTGTATAGGGTAGTCTGGCTTACAGCCACTCCTTGTACCAATGGGAATCTTCTTAATTGATCGGACAGAGAAGAGGTCCCCACAATCTGTACGAATATAAGCTGGTGCTCCAAATATTGAGAACAGTAAGCAAAGACAGCATAAGACCATTGTTGCACTTACATCTGGACAGGGAAAGGCAAAAGGGAATCATGAGTACTTGTCACTGACAGTAAATATTTGTTTCAGGATTTAGATAGAAAAGGGCCCTTAAAGTCCATGCTCAGCCTCTCAAATGGCTGTGTAGCTTTTACATGGGTTCCCGGATTGGATTTATAGATCCTTGGTTTTATTCAAGCACAAATCTGACAACCGTTTGTTATTTGTTTCATGTCCTTAACTGAAAAAGGCAAATTCCAGCTATGAACCACATGCATCATCCTTGTGATGACAAAGATCTTTGGTGCTGTTTATTGATCCACACACTTTTGACAAGCGCATCTACTGGTACATTTTCCTTTCCCAACCAATAGAAAATGTCAGACGAAAAATAGGAAAGCTCTACCCTCCATCTCACTATCTTTTCATTTTTTATTTTGCTTGACGTCTTGGGATTAAACATAAAAGAGACTGACTTTTGGTCAGTGATTAATTTAAAGCAGTGACCAATTAAGAAATTTTGCCATTTTTTAGTGCCTCAACTATGACATAAGCCTCCTATTCAACAGCTGAATGTTTGCACTCAGATTTTGACAATATTCTGGAGAAGAACACTACAGGGTGCCCAGATAGCCTTTAACGTGGCAGCTATGGCATGGTCAGAAGCATCGTTCCCTACTTCAAGTGGTGTAGATAGAATCAAATGTTACCCACAACAAAATAATTTACTTGGTCAGAAAATCAAAATAATGTACTGTGTTTTCAAATGGGAATGGATAATTTCAAATTGGAAAAAGATTGTTTTCTCAGACAAATGTAAAATTGAACATTTTCCAGCTATGGGACAATATATGAGAAAGTGCCTCAAGTTTATGATGAATTAAGAAATATAATGTCAAAAGTATAAAAGACTCAATGGCAACAAGTCACAGAGATAAAAAAAAGTGGAATCATTTTATACAATTGAAATATAAATTCAAAAGAGTATTCACATATATTCAATGAAAGTAGAAACCAAATATATTAAAATTTATATCTTTTTCAACAGGATGCTGAAAACCGACATACTTCAAAATTGACCATAGATAAAAGAACGGTGTATATAATAAAAATTGGCCAAGCCCTTCTCCTGATTTGAATATTGTAGAAAACTATTGAAATGTACAAATAGGAAAGTTAATGAGAAATGTCCAGAGAATACTGATTAGCTTTGGGAGATCACAAAGACTGAATAGGCAAATATTGATCATTTCTTCATTTTAAATTTATATTCCTCACTACAGAAAATGATTTTGACTGTGTTGTGAGCTAAGAAGAAAACATTTAACTTTATTCAATATAGAATGTTGCTATTGTTAATGGGACTCTTCTATAATTGGACTATAGCTTTTATAGTTTGTGTTAGGATTAGTATCAGTAAGTGGAGGTGATGGTATGAGTAGTATAGTAGTCACCACAACATTCTCCCCCACTAACTAAGGACAGTACTTGGTGTTATTAAGATTAGGTTAAATTTTTTTATTCAAAATAATCTTGTAAGTATTGGGGTCTTCATTTGATACATGTAGAATGGCATATAACTGGAGAAGAAGGCTGGGTTATGTCTACACTTTGTTCAGGCAAAGAGTTCTCTTGAACTTCAGTTATTTCCACTTTCGGGTGCATCTGGACAGCATCAGCATTCTGCTTGGACACCGTGTTGATGCCATCAGTAGAATTTTGATCAGTTAACCTGTCATTTCACTTGGTGAAACTGTAAATTTGATGCTCTTTCTGTAGATGTACGAGTGCATAATTAGGGTTAGCCTCGAGTAGCTCAACCTCATTTATCAGCAGTTCAAACTTACTTTGGTGTTCATGGCATTTCATAAAAACAATTCCGAGTTGAGACAACTATGAAGGGAGCGAATATCCATCTGCTATCCTATGTTGGTGATGAAACATTCTCTCATGTAGGGTTTCATTTGTAGCTATACACAACATG